GGAGCAGTTAGGCCGTGAGCCATGGCCGCTGAGCCTGCGCATCCGGAGCCTGTGCTCCACAACGGGAGAGGCCACAACAGTGAGAGGCCCATGTACCACAAAAAAATAATAATAATAAACTAAAAAATCTTCCAACAAACAAAAGCCCGGGACCAGATGGCTTCAGAGGCGAATTCTATCAACCATTTAGAGAAGAGCTAACACCTATCCTTCTCAAACACTTCCAAAATATAGCAGAGGGAGGAACACTCCCAAACTCATTCTATGAGGCCACAATCCCCCTGATACCAAAACCAGACAAGGATGTCACAAAGAAAGAAAACTACAGGCCAATATCACTGATGAACATAGATGCAAAAATTCTCAACAAAATACCAGCAAACAGAATCCAACAGCACATTAAGAGGATCATACACCATGATCAGGTGGGATTTATTCCAGGAATGCAAGGATTCTTCAATATATGCAAATCAATCAATGTAATACACCATATTAACAAACTGAAGGAGAAAAACCATATGATCATCTCAATAGATGCAGAGAAAGCTTTCGACATAATTCAGCACCCATTTAGGATAAAAACCCTGCAGAAAGTAGGCAGAGAGGGAACTTTCCTCAACATAATAAAGGCCATATATGACAAACCCACAGCCAACATCGTCCTCAATGGTGAAAAACTGAAACCGTTTCCACTAAGATCAGGAACAAGACAAGGTTGCCCACTCTCACCACTCTTATTCAACATAGTTTTGGAAGTTTTAGCCACAGCAGTCAGAGAAGAAAAGGAAATAAGAGGAATCCAAATCGGAAAAGAAGAAGTAAAGCTGTCACTGTTTGCAGATGACTTGATACTATATATAGAGAATCCTAAGATGCTATCAGAAAACTACTAGAGCTAATCAATGAATTTGGTAAAGTAGCAGGATACAAAATTAATGCACAGAAATCTCTGGCGTCCTATACACTAATGACGAAAAATCTGAAAGCGAAATCAAGAAAACACTCCCATTTACCATATTGCAACAAAAAGAATAAAATATCTAGGAATAAACCTACCTAAGGAGACAAAAGACCTGTATGCAGAAAATTATAAGACACTGATGAAAGAAATTAAAGATGATACAAACAGATGGAGAGATATACCATGTTCTTGGATTGGAAGAATCAACATTGTGAAAATGACTCTACTACCCAAAGCAATCTATAGATTCAATGCAATCCCTATCAAACTACCACTGGCATTTTTCACAGAACTAGAACAAAAAATTTCACAATTTGTATGGAAACACAAAAGACCCCGAATAGCCAAAGCAATCTTGAGAACAAAAAATGGAGCTGGAGGAATCAGGCTGCCTGACTTCAGACTATACTACAAAGCTACAGTAATCAAGACAGTATGGTACTGGCACAAAAACAGAAAGATAGATCAATGGAATAGGATAGAAAGCCCAGAGATAAACCCATGCACATATGGTCACCTTATCTTTGATAAAGGTGGCAGGAATATACAGTGGAGAAAGGACAGCCTCTTCAATAAGTGGTGCTGGGAAAATTGGACAGGTACATGTAAAAGTATGAGATTAGATCACTCCCTAACACCATACACAAAAATAAGCTCAAAATGGATTAAAGACCTAAATGTAAGGCCAGAAACTATCAAACTCTTAGAGGAAAACATAGGCAGAACACTCTATGACATAAATCACAGCAAGATCCTTCTTGACCCATCTCCTAGAGTAATGGAGATAAAAACAAAAATAAACAAATGGGACCTAATGAAACTTCAAAGCTTTTGCACAGCAAAGGAAACCATAAACAAGACCAAAAGACAGCCCTCAGAATGGGAGAAAATATTTGCAAATGAATCAACTGACAAAGGATTAATCTCTAAAATTTACAGGCAGCTCATGCAGCTCAATAACAAAAAAATAAACAACCCAATCCAAAAATGGGCAGAAGACCTAAATAGACATTTCTCCAAAGAAGATATACAGAGTGCCAACAAACACATGAAAGAATGCTCAACATCATTAATCATTAGAGAAATGCAAATCAAAACTACAATGAGATATCATATTACACTGGTCAGAATGGCCATCATCAAACAACATAGAAACAATAAATGCTGGAGAGGGTGTGGAGAAAAGGGAACACTCTTGCACTGTTGGTGGGAATGTAAATTGATACAGCCACTATGGAGAACAGTATGGAGGTTCCTTAAAAAACTACAAATAGAACTACCATATGACCCAGCAATCCCACTACTGGGCATATACCCTGAGAAAACCATAATTCAAAAAGAGTCATGTACCAAAATATTCATTGCAACTCTATTTAGAATAGCCAGAAGATGGAAACAACCTAAGTGTCCATCATCTGATGAATGGATAAAGAAGATGTGGCACATATATACAATGGAGTATTACTCAGCCATAAGAAGAAATGAAGTTGAATTATTTGTAGTGAGGTGGATGAACCTAGAGTCTGTCATACAGAGTGAAGTAAGTCAGAAAGAGAAAGATAAATACTGTATGCTAACACATATATATGGAATCTAAAAACAAACAAAAAAAATGTCATGAAGAACCTAGGGGTCAGACAGGAATAAAGACACAGACCTACTAGAGAATGGACTTGAGGATATGGGGAGGGGGTAGGGTAGGCTGTGAAAAAGTGACAGAGTGGCATGGACATATATACACTACCAAATGTAAAATAGATAGCTAGTGGGAAGCAGCCGCATAGCACAGGGAGATCAACTTGGTGCTTTGTGACCACCTAGAGGGGTGGGATAGGGAGGGCGGGAGGGAGGGAGACGCAAGAGGGAAGAGATATGGGGACATATGTATATGTATAACTGATTCACTTTGTTATAAAGCAGAAACGAACACACCATTGTAAAGCAATTATACTCCAATAAAGATGTAAAAAAAGAAAAAAGGAAAAAAAAAGAGATAATTAGTACCTGTGGTCTCAAAAGCAGCTAAGTATTAAATGGAAGAGATGGATAGAGAAAACCAGAATCATAACAGTGACCTGCAAGCAAAAGGGAATACATAATTATGAAGTAGAGATTAAAATAATTAACTCAGTAATAAAGTTTAAAGCCTTCCCCATTTTTAAAGGCCTTGTTTTCTCTAGAAGTATTTTAGGGTTTGGAAGTAGAAAGCAAAGCTAAATTAAAGATGGGATTTTTTCTACATAAACAATTTAATCATTTCTTATCATTTATGATTTTTGCACTGTTGAAAGCTATTGATATAAGCTACTTAGCTCCTAACAGGACATGGACAAAACAGAACCTAGGCCTAAGAGCTTGGGAGTCTACGTTCAAAACCTGGTTCTGGCCTTTTTTTTCTTTATAACTTAATTGAGGCATATTTTACTTATCATAGAATTCACCTATTTTAAGTGTAGAATTCAACGATTTTTTTTAGTACACTTACCACGTTGTACAGCCATCATCACAAATCAGTTTTAGGACATTTTCATCCCCCAACAAGATCCCTCATGCCCATTTACAGTTAATCCCCCTTCTTAGTTCCTATTCCTGGCCCCAGGCAACCACTGACTTACTTTCTGTCTATCGATTTGCCTTTTCTGGACATTTCATGTACATGGACTCAGACAATATGTAGTCTCAAATATTTGATTTATTTCATTAAGAATAGTTTTTGAGGTTCATCCATGTTGTAGCATGTAGCTATAGTTCACTCCTTTTTATTGCTGAATATACCACATTTTGTCTATCCATTTAGCAGTTGATGGACATTTTGGTTGTTTCCAGTTTTGTGCTATTATGAATAATTCTGCGAAGAGCATTCATATGTAAGTCTTTGTGTTGACATATGTTTTCCTTTTCTTTGGGTGTGTACCTAGGAGTGAAATTACTTGATCAAATGGTAAAATTATGTTGAACTTTTTAAGAAACTGCCAAACTGTTTTCCAAAGTGGCTGTACCAGCAACACACATGGGTTCCTATTTCTCCACATCCTCCTAGCCATGCCTCTCAATAGCTGTGCAGCTTTGGGCAAACTTTAGTCCCCTCTGTAAAAAACCAGGTGGGGTGGGGAGTTAAGACTTACTAAGCACCTGCTCTGTGCTAGACATGGCGGTAAAAGCATGGCATTCTTTGTCTGCCTCCACTGTCATCTCCATGAAAGGTAGATATGATTTTCTGTGTATCTGATGAATTTACAGAGGTTCAGAGAAGTTAGGTAAGTTAGTCATTGTCATACAGGATTCTTGTGAATACTAAATTATATCAAGTCTCATATACGAACATGCAGAGCACAGTGTTGGGGACACAGAAGGTGGTTAATAAAGAGATTTTCATTTCTCTGCTTCTTCCCATCATTTCCATCTCAAATAGGTCTAATCACAGGGCCTGACCCACGCCAATCAGGCCCCACCAACTTGCTGGTGATAGTTGCCTATTATGAAACTGTCATGCATTGGCGAATCTAAAAGCCTTTAGAGAACCCACCCTGCAGTCATAACCACTCTAGGGGCAGGAGTATCCTAAAGCCAATCCCTAACCCAAGTCACATAAAAACATGAGAGCAACCAGTTCAGGAGAGGGTTATATCTCTTAACCCTTGTTTTTCATTCTTGTCTCTTCTTTCTTCCTCTCTTCACAATGGCAGTAATTACTTTTCCAAATTCCTGAGAAGGGAGTTCCGAAAAGTATATATTAAGGTTGCCAAGAATTTAATTGACTTTATTGCTCTGAAATGAACCCGTATCGGTTGGCTTGATAAATGGCAATAAGAAATGAAAACAAAGAGGGATAACACTCCCTTGACCAAGTATAGAAAAGTGATATGGAAGAAAAGGGCTCAATTATCATCTTAGTCAAGTTCAAGGGTTTGGGATTTTAAAATATATTTCTGAATATGAAAATTCATATGAAATATTTTAATATGAAATTTTATATGAAATATTATACAACATAAGGTTTCTTTTAATCAATAACTTGTCATTCATTGTGTCTTTTCAGGGAAAGCCTGGTGTCAGAGGCCCTCCAGGCCCCCCTGGGCCTTGGGGCATAGGAACCCAAGAGCCAAAGGTGAGTCCTCAGGTCTGTGCTCTGGGTGACGGTCAGGTACCACATGACGATGCATAGGAAGTGCTCATTCTGATGCTGACTTAGTTTTCTCTTGATTGTTGATGAAGAGTCTTATTTTCTCATATCATGTGAACTTTCAGTAAAATAGAACATTTAGGTTTATAAAGCCATTCGCTTCCCCCAAAGAAATTAGAAAGTTAATGTCTTTTTAAAAAGTGATTGCAAAGTGCTCAAAATATTCCCAGGTTCCTTAGAGGCTGTACCATCGTTAAGAAGCATGTGTTTACTTTGGCCAGAGGTGCCTCAGGTCGCCTTTTAACAGGACACCAGCTGATGGATCTATTCTGTGCTGTGCACGTAGTCCACTCTGTCCCCAGTGCAAGGGCCTAATTTATTGTCCCCGTGGAAGGTGAGAGGAATTTCCTTTGGCTCCCTTTGCTCTCACTTCTATTTCTCTTCCTTTTATCGCCTCCAATTTGGTGATTATTTATCCTTTTATTCTTTTAATCCAGTGTTTTTCAATGAGGGAGATTTTGTCCTCCCCTCTCCACCCCAGGGGGACATTTGGCAGTGTCCGGAATCATTTTGGGTTGTTACGTCACACTGGGGAAGGAGTGCTACTGGCATCTAGTGGGTAGATGCCAAGGATGCTGCTAAACAACACCCTACAATGCACAGGACAGCCTCCCATGATGAAGAATTACCCAGCTCAAAATGTTAATTATGCTGAGGTTGAGGAGCCCTGTTTCAATTGTTCATTCATTTGCTTAACAAATATTCCTTTGATTTGTTCAAAAAGGGAGGTAAAGTATCAGACATGTTCATAGGGCAAACAGGTTTCAGCGAGCCACCCGTCACAAATTCAAATGTCAAACACGTATATTTACCTCCAAAATGCACAGAAGTGAATTAGAATCCTATTATCAGAGGGGAAAGGGCTTTATGAGTCAAAGATGGGACTGAGGATCCTAGAATTATCAAGATTCTTAGTTTATCCATTTTTGTCCATCAACTCCATTTTGACAGTGGGCTATTTCTTAACCTTACAGATCCCTTTATAATAATGGATAAAGATCCCTCCAAGATGTTAGTAGTTGTTATCACTGGGTGATGCAATGATGGGTCTTTTGGGTCTTTTTTTTTTTTTCTCCACTGTCATTTTTATTTCTTTTGCTACTTTTTTCCCCCAATGAGTTCCTCTTACAATCAGAAAAAAATAAAGCTTTTTCCCATATTGGAAGAAAAAGACTGACTTATACAGTAACTTTTATTAACTCAGGATTTCTCAAAGTTTGTTTCCTCAAAATGTTAATTTGGGAACTTCTGGGATAAACAAAGTTAAACTAATTTTTCTATTGTGGGACTTCTTGAGGCTTTAATATATTCATACCATGGTGTAGAACATTTTCCAATCTTATTTGACCACAGAAGTCTTTCCTCAAGAAACGTGGGGTCAACCTAAGCTGTAAGGAACATATACTGGGAAATGACGCACATTTTGCTTTATTTACATATTTTCTTAAAAATTCAACTCTGATCCACATCAATAACTGCTGAATCTTTAACTGCAACCCCTGTGAATTAATACACCATACTGAAATGGAGCAACACAGTGAAGTCTACATAGAATTATGTATGAGTGGTATTCGAACCCCTGGTGTTCTAGAGGTTGATGGTACAGCAGCTTGGAGGAGCCCAAGCAGACGAGGCTACGGGTCCAACGCTTCTGCTTACGCCAAGCAGTTCTGCCTTACCTCTTTACAGCTGGATTACATGTAAAATTTTTGCAAAGGATTCTATGGCTTAAAATTTTTGTGAAAACACTACTTTATATCAATATGGGCAGAGTGGATGTAGGTCTTCATCAGGCTGAAGTGGGAATGTAGCTGAGAGCAGTAGTCTGTTGTTTCTTTCTAAATCTCCTTAACCTTCTCTCCGATTTCTGTCTGTCTTCTAACAGGGTGATACTGGGCAGAAAGGCTTGCCTGGCCCTCCTGGCCCCCCCTGGCTATGGATTTTAAGGAATCAAAGTAAGTGAACAGGAGTGTGCCAGGGTCGCCTCTCAATTCACTAGGGCGTTGGGGAGAAGAGGTTGTGGATAATACAAAATATGACTATTATGAAATGGACTTAATGTAAGCTTAGCAGTTTTTAGAGGCATCATCTAAAAGTGGAAACATGGTGTAAGTCCAACAGCTTCACAAATGCTAATCATTACGTAAGTAGCTTGGAGAAAAATTAAACGGTTACAGTGGTTTACTGTTCCGCCAGTTTCTGAGCTGAATGGAGAGTCTGTGCCCCACCACATGTGCTCTGTCTCCCTTACCTTCCTCACCTGTAGCCTCCGTTCTTTGCCCAGGGCTTCCCAAGTTCCCAGTTTTAGCTCACAATGGACTCACCTGGGGAGCTTTTGAATAATGCTGCTGCCCTACCCCAGAAGAAGGAAATCTGAATTTCTGGGGGTAGAGCTTGAGTACTGTGGGTTTAAAAGCCCCCCACATGATTCTCCTGAGCATCCAGGTGAGAACACTGACTCTGTGCTACCTGAGTTCACAACCACCCATTCTGCTTGATTTCTGTCTCAGCCGTGACAAGACTACCTATCAAGATGGGACTCTCAGGGTCTCCCCTGTCTCAGTAGACAAAATTTGGCATCTACAGCCTGCTGTGTAATTTCAAACAATTCCCTCTTCTACTTCTAATATGGTTTATTTATTTTTTATTTTGTCACTGGCTCCCTCTCATTCTATTTGTTTCCCACCAAATAAACTTCTATGGTTAAGCTTCAAAAATAATTCCCTCCTGGCTAATTGATATTGGCTCTAAAAAAGTGGAAGCATTCAAAATAAACTTTTTCAGATAGCAGAATTTCTTAGTAAGCAGGAGACAGTAGGAGCTGAAGATAATAAATGTGAAAATGCTATGTTGAAATTAAACCACCTACCTGTGTTAAGAGTGAGCTTTGTCAAGAGCAAAACCCATTGAATCTGCAATAAATCTTCCAATCTATCATACAGAGTCTAGGGCTTTCACTGCAGGTCTTTTACATAACAGCTGTTCACCTTTCAGGCTGAGGATCCAAGCAAAGGCCAGTTAATACTGCTGATACTGAACAAACACAGGAAAATACAGCAAAAACCTGCTTCCTTGTAAACAGCATCTTTCGTACTTAATCTTTCAATTCTACAGTTAAAAGATAGTTTTGGATTTATGCGTTTCCTTTAGCAATGAACCCATAATTGACCACCAGCTGGTCACCAAGCTCAGTTCACGTGTGCTGTGAGTTCATTATCACTACCTCGTTAAATCCTGTGCCAGCTTTCTCCCTTTGTTATCTGGGAACTATTTATTTACATAGGGGTCTCTTGGGCTGCACTTAATTTATCCTTACCAACTCTGCCCTTCCTTATGCCCTCCAGGTTATGCCATGTTCAAAGTCCCTCCTGAGTGAAACTATGGTGGGAAATCTACCATAATAAGAAAAGAACCAAAATGAAAACTGCCACGTATCCAGTCCTATCAGAAATGAGATAACCTTTCCTCCACCGAGGGTTGTGGCCCAATGCTACTTGGCAGAGAGCCTTGACCAAGGCTGCCTCACAAAACCTCTCTAGACATCCTGGCATCCTGTTGGCAACAGGGCAAAATTATTTCCCTTAGGATGCCTACCTCGTTTGTCTGACCCTGGCTTGTACCGTCACTGCAAAAGGGAGGGAACTGAAAAATCGAATTGGTGGTGTTCCTGAGTCATTTTAAGGCTACATATTTAGTGAAATTTCATTTCTTATGTTCATTTGTTGAATTTATTTCACACCCCTTTCTAAAATCTATTTGAATCAGTGAAACTTGCTTTAATTTGTACGTCTGTTGGTGAGACTTTGATGGACGCTCTTGTTGTTAACCTTTAACATCAGGGCCTGACTTGTACCCCGACTCTCTATGCCATCCCAACCACGGGGAAAATAAGGGCTCAGGCTGCGATCACAGAAGTGATCTGCTCTAGCACTGACCTAACTTCGTTGCTAGAATATTGACTTTTCAGTCAGTTATTCATTCAGCCAACCAACCAACCGACCAACCAACAAACCAACCAATACTGACTGAGCACCATCTATGTCAGGGAAATAGGCTAAGTGCATCATAAAACAATGAGTAAAAAGACGTGAATTCTGTCCTCATGGGGTTGGACATAAAATAATCACTTTTTGAGCTTCAGAGCGTATGGAGGGGTGGCACAGTGAAATGAATTGGGTTACAGGGGTAGGCAAGAGCCCCGTAGGGTCCTGTAGGCCACAGTAATGAGTAGTCTTAATCCTAAGGGCAACTGCAGGAGCAGGGTGACATGATCGGGCAGGTATTTAGACAAGACTTGCCATTGCTCTGCAGTCCCCACTGTGGCCCAGCTGCTCCATGCTGCAGAGGAGCTCTAGCTCCTCCAGGGGCCTCAGTGCTTTTTCTCAACCACACATGTCTACTGATTGTATGGATGAATACAAGACTGTGGCTCTTTTGTCCCAAGGTGGCCTTGGCCATTCGGGTTCACAGCATATAGGTCAGGAGGTTACATGATGCCACCATCTTGTCCCACGTGAGCCTCCAGCACTGACCATTTTCCCTAGATATGCCAGTAATCCTCAGATTAAGTCAGGAGGGAGAAGGGGTGGGGCTTGGTCTTGAGGGATTGCTTGACCTGTCAACTAGCCCTTGAAGGGCCAAGAGAGATGGAAAGAGAGGATGGGTCATCCAGGTTAAAAAACCAAGTATGAGGACAGACAGAAATGGCTTCTCCCCCCACCACCCTCTTCATTTCTACTCAGGAGCCGTGCCTGTTTTCCTCTCTCCATCTTTGTTCAAGTCAGGTCCTGTGGCCTGATCAGCCCTGACATTCTCAGAGGATCAGGAGGTCCTTATAAAAATAGGATTCCTGGGCTTCCCTGGTGGCACAGTGGTTGAGAGTCCGCCTGCCGATGCAGAGGACACGGGTTCGTGCCCGGGTTTGGGAAGATCCCACATGCCGCGGAGCGGCTGGGCCCGTGAGCCATGGCCGCTGAGCCTGCGCGTCCCGAGCCTGTGCTCTGCAACGAAAGAGGCCACAACGGTGAGAGGCCCGGCTACTGCAAAAAAAAAAAAAAAAAGAAAGAAATTAGGATTCCTGATGGCCCTCCATTACCTTAGGAGTTTCTGAAACAGATGTGTGGACTGGACTATGACTCCTGCTATGCGTAAACCCTTCATTCATTACAAAAATGAGCTTCCGTGCCACTGGCTTCCATTCTCTGTTTAGGCCTGAACATGACTGATCTCTTACTGGCTGAGGAAACACTCCCTGTGTTTCGGTTGTGGCAAAAGATGGGCTGACTGATATTTCAGACCTCGCCAGTTTGCTATCAGTGTGAACAAATAGCCTCAATAACGTGCTGGGGGAATCCAGGGAACACTACCTGGTAGAAATCCCAGGGTCTCCAAAGCTGACAAAGTGTGATGACTGCAGTGGTTCCATGGTCACAGAGCTACCAGATCAACTTCCGAGAATCCTGGGGCCCAGAAATGGAGGGAAACTTAGTCCCAGTGACCTCTCCCCTCGATCTAGATTCTGATCTTAATGATCTGATGGAAAGAGAATGAGCTTGAGAAACCACTTGGACCTCGGCCTGAATCTGTCTAGTTGTGTAAGCTTGGACACCTTATTTATCTTTGTCAAACCTTAAAATGTACTCATCTTTAAAATGGGGATAATAAAGCCTATTTTACAAGGTGTTGTAAAGATAAAATTGTACAAACTGTACACACTGTACACAGTAGTGGATACTCAACCAGAGCCTGGGCTGTGGAGTTAACAGATTTGAATCGTGGCTTCCTGAGTACTACACCTCTGCCTCAGTTTCCACATCTGAGGAATAATGATAGTGAGGATAATAATAGTACTATTTTCTAAAGTTGTTATGAGGAATAAATGAAATTAAATGAGACAGTATGTGTAATGTATCTAAAACAAGGTTTGACACATGGTTACATATGCAGTAAATGTTTGTAGTTATTCACATTATAATTTCTTCTTGCTTCCCTTCCCTTTCCACTAGTCCCTCTTATATTTTCCAGAATGAAGGCCCAGCATTTTGACAGCCATGTGATGTAATGCTCTAAAACATAAAATATTGGTTGCATTAAGTAGTGTAGGCCTGGCACCTGTACCAAAAAGACCACCAAATGTATAATGGGTCAAACACAGCAGAGGTTTCTGTTCACATGGCAGGCCAATGGGAGTCTTCCTAATTGGTGGGCAATTTTCTTCCACATAGAATTTCAGAGAACCTCAACTTCCATTTATGTTTCCTCCATTGGATGGGCCCCTTTACCACTTACACCCAGCAAGCAGAAAGGGGAGAGTGTGGAAGAGGCACACCTGCTTCTTAAGAGTCTTGGCCAAGAGGTGACACACATCACCTCTGCCCACGTTTTAGGGGCTAGGACTAGTCTCATGGAAAGGTAGTCTAACTGTGTGACCAGAAAGAAGGGGAGCCAGGGGTTTGGTAAAGAGCTGGCAATTGCCATGCAAAATTTAACCTGTCTCCAGGAAAGATGGAAATTTAAAAGCTATATGTTATTCTGAAGTATGTTGGTGCTTCCAGAAGAAAACAGAAAACAAGCCTGGTCTCCATGGCAGCTTCCAGAATGCTTGTCACTCTCCTGATACTGTTGGGCACAGTGATCTGGCTTACAAGGACTGGGTTCAGCTTTATCATTCTTTTTATCCTATCTTCAAAAAAAAAAAAAAAAAAAAACCCTCAGAGTCTTGCTATCTTCTTATTTCAAGCAGCATCAGAAGTACCACTGGATAATTTAGAAATTGCCTTGAGTAGACAGGCTGAGTACCAACCAGCCAAAGTAGAGCAGGCTTGGGGTTTAGTGAGACCGGGAAACAAACAAGAAATGCTCATCCTTGTCTTTGACAGAGCCAGGGCCAAAGGATGAGGGACACCTGAAACCTGGCAGGAGAGCTGTGGTCGAAAGGCTGGAGAGAGGCAGGGAT